CCGCTTGTTACTACCCCAACCCCCTCCCCTATCCCCTGGACTAATTTGCTTGAAACTTTGAACATAATTTTAACCTTTTACACTTTACCGCCCCCCCCCTCCCATATAAATGTAATAGCCTGATGGGAATGTATTGAAAGTATACGTATGCTCGCCAACTCCTCTTCGGATTTCTGTGATGGGAATTTTGGCGACCATCCAAATTTAGTTCCCGTTAAGAACCAGATCCTGGGACTCGAAGTGTAGATAGCGGCCTTGAAAAACGGGGTTCTGTCTCGAAGCCAGATGTGACGCAGTAGGCTAACGATCCCACACCCCGGGTTTGACAGTCAATAATTTTAACACCAGGGCATTGGATATAGGATAAGGTAAAGAAGATAATTTAACTCCTGCAAAGTCAGGATCGAGATTGAAGTTGGTAGTTAAGTGTACATTTGATCCCATAATTTTAATCCGTTGAGTGGATTTACTCCACAGGTAGCCTATAAGCGAAGAAAAATGCATGTATATTGCAGTTTAGTTTAGGGGACCAGGCAGGATTCTGGCGAACTAACAGGTGACCAGATATCGAAGACATTTCGGTGGAATCCTACGTTGAGTCAAAGAAATTGTTTAAATAATCTAATGTTCCCACAAAAAAATAGCGCGCCATAAATAAACACAGGAATGTACTTACATTTCTTCCTTTATTATAGTTAATTGGGTGTGACAAATTTGGACATTTTTTGTTTTTACAATCATAAGCAACATACGGTCTCTACACTGCCAGAGACGGCGTCAGAAGCAAATTTCGCCGTCAATGGGGACGATGCTCCCTTTCCTTCAACTGCAGAAATAGAGTTTGCCTACGAGACTTTGTGCCGACATCCCAGCCGCATAGTCGTTTTTCACAATGTGTCCACCCCACCGGAGACATCGGCGGGACGGTCGACCACAGACAGTTTTGCTGACAGCTCTGCCTTTCCAGTGTTCTTTCACTAGTACTAAATTTCTCGCAACCTCGGAAGAGTTGGTTAGGGGGTCGTCTATTTCAACTTACCTGAGGTCCAAATTACAGTTCTGTAGTTACATAAGTATAGTTCGCGGGGCTTCGCAACGTACACTCCTTCGAGTCACATGCGCAAGAACCTCACATTAGTTTACTTTATTCGGTTTATTTAAATCATTTTTACTTAAGTTCAGTTTTCGGTTTAGTTTTCATTTCAGTATTATGTTTAATATTTTTATTTTAGTTTTGGATTATTTTAAGGTTAGTGAGTTTAGCTTACTTTAGTTTATGTTTTAGTTAATTAATTTTATTTTTATTTGGTTATTTCTAATTTAGTTATTTCCCAATAGTTACATAAATGTACATTTTAATTATGACGCGCTTTTTGGACAAACATTAGGTTATTACAACAATTATCCCTATTTTTTCTACTTGTTTAAGCTTTAGTTGATTTATTTATTGTTTATTTATATTTACCTCCTTTGTATTGCCCAGACTGGGTACTGTTTATTACACTTTGTCCCTTATTATAGAAGAATGAGGCTTTCGCGTGCTGATCTGGGACTCAAAGAAGGATTCTACCAAAATGTGCTATGCTATTTAATATGATAGAAATAAACTTCTTGTTTTGTGCATTATGCTATTAAAAGAACGCCAACATAAGCAAGAAATGTTTAATATATAAATCTTACAGAACCAAACAATCTAGTGGTAACTTGATGAAAATTCTTTGAAGGCAAGTGAAAGGAATCGCATTGTTTTCCAGAAGAAAAAAACAGCAAGTACTCTTTATATTTCCCTTATGTTATACATTCGCTTAGGGTCATTCAGTATTTTCTCAGAGTTTTCGTACATGTTTTAATGCTAATTTTCGGGTAAGTATCAAGGTTTTGCAAATTTCCGCAGTTTGCTTGAGTTAGGGCCCAAGCTGTACGCAAAAGTTAAACATGTCTCTCCTTAGGAACAGCTACAATCTACACACTTACACTCTGATAGCCGTAGTGGAAACTGGGAAACACCTGGCTTAATCACCGATCCAGGTATGTGAATAAGTTACTGTAAAAAATCAGTTTAGGAAGCCTCTGCTGCAAACTGAGTATGTTGACTCAAACATCCCGTCAGTTAGAGCAAAGCAACTGCCTGGGGCATATTTCGACCATGCTTGACGTTTGATATACCCAACAAAAGTCACTAGATCATTCAAAAAACTGCCTTGACTAAAGTATATTTTGATAGATGAATTGCAGCTTGTTGTTTTGCGTAATGTGTATTTTTTAATGCCCTCAGCGTACCCATTCAAAATTCTGTCTGCGCTGGGGGTGTCATTGTGTTTGATCTCTTCCAGGCATAAAATAACTGCAATCATTTGGGCAAATTCAAGTCATAGAGATGAGTAAATTAACGAAGTATGGCGGCTGGACCGGTCACTTACACATTTCGTTTGGGGTCGTAAAACTCGCAGGAGGAGAGGAAGTCAAGAGTGGCATTCTTGCCACCGCAAGCAACAATTTCGCCGCCCACGGCACAGGCACCAGCGCAACGACGGTGCTCGAGCATGGGAGCGACTGGACGGCATCGTCTAGTTCGAACATTGTACTCTCGCACGGTATTGGTCCATTTTTTGTTTGCTCGTCCGCCTATCATATAGACGAGTCCATCTGCCAAAGAAGTAAGCAAAGGGGTTGTTTATTTTTAAGAATTTAATGTGTAACGCTCACCTAAGTAAAATAACCAAATGGCGGCGTCAGTGTTGGCACCAGTACTACTAGCCTTCTTGCCGAGATTGAGGGGATATGAGCCCAGTGCTGACTTTAATCAGCGTCATTTCTGACTTACAAAAACTCAGTAATATTACCAGCAAATATTATCACTAAGCTTCACCCAGCAAGTAGTATTAGAAGTAGGAGAATTGGTAGTAGCAGTACCAGTCCTGGTTTACTTAAGTCTGGCTAGACACCACTAAGGGTGTGCTTAGGGTAGGCAGTACAGTAGTACCAGCGCAAAAGGCTACTGTCACTTAATACTAAGTTAGGCGGTGTTTCGGCTTGCATGGGGAAAGCAGCCTACGCTGGAACCTGTGTAGTCTTCGAGACTCCGAGTGAAAGTGAAAAGTGCGGAGCCTCTAACTACGTCCTCTATCACTTTAAAACTAACACCTGAGACTGTCAACCTCACCTGTTGGTGCACTTGGTGGACTTCATCTAAATCGATGGTCGAACACACACACACACACACGCACCTAAGTATAACTCAAATAGTGAAGGCGGTTTGGCTGTTTACACATTTTATTAATTTTTTACAAATTTAATGCTGTTGTTTTTTTATTTTTTGCTTTTTTTTACGAATTTAATGGTGCATAAACGTAACTGTGCTTCACTTGTCAGCAATGGCCAGCACCTGTTTGCTTCTCTACAGATATAGCAAATTTTTGATTCGTTTGACTTGCGAAAAAAGTCAAATGTTGTAGTCCCTCGGTCTTTGAGAGTCAGCTAGCCCTGCGTGGGCAAAGCAATGGAGAAAGGAGCCTGCAATTATTATACACGCGACCGGAGCCAACTATGCAGTCAGCCATCGCTTCTTTCTTCGAGTCCGATCCCGTATAGGAAGAGAAGAGGTGGGACACCAGCTGGAAGGATGTTGTAATCTGTAGATAACTGTTGGCAAAAATTCATTTGATCCAAATGGCCCCGGTGGGATTCGAACCAACGCCTGCAAGGTGAAGTCCTTAGTACAGCTACCGCTTTAGCCAACTCAGCTAAAAGTAGGTAACTGAACAAGAGCACAGGACCAGTGCCGCGAAAGCTCAATCCCACGTGTAAATTAGCGAGTCATTACGGTATAGGATCCGCCAAGGCAAAATAAAGACGACCTTGTTTGAATTGTTAAGCGCGAGCAGTTCGACTTTGCCCAACGATGGGGTAGGTGGTATG